AGGGTGTGTATTCAGAAGTGGAATTGCTGCATCCTATGGTGATTCTACGCTTCATTTTTGAGGAATCACCACACCATGGTCCACAGCAGCTGCACCATTTTACTTACTCACCAAGAGTGCACCAGGGTTCCCACTTCCCCATGTCATTGCCAACACTTATTCTGCCCCTATCTTTTTCATTTATAATGCAACTCATCACAAGCCATGATTTAGGAGAGAACAAGACCATGCACAATGAAGTCTCCGAGAAAATAAAGGCAAGTTTCTATAAAAGGTCCCTAGAAGAACCAAGGGTCCAATTTTCCAAGCAAAAATATTGAAAATGGTCATATAGGTTGGTAACTACTTTTATAAATAAACTGTGTCTATAAACACACAAGTTTGATGTTCATATCCATTAATGATATGGGAGAACTAACTTCGTGCACCTAAATTGGTTCTTTGGACAAGTGAAGGTGGGATTCTTACAGAATTTTTCCTTACATGGCTACATCTTTGGATACTATTTAAACATACAAATTTTGCCTTTGGACGTCGTGTCTCTGGTAAGAATACTCTCTACACAATGAGATAGTAGCTGATGAGGGTAGCCAAGTACAGTTCAATTTTATATTTCAGGACAACTAAGAGACTCCAATTTTGGAAAACCAGAACCAGAAACTGTTCAGTTAGGAAGGAAAACTCAGTTTCAGAGCTCACCTCGACACTGGAATTAGTATAAGCAGTGCGGTCTGCATGTGCCAGGGTCCCTACATGGGTTATTACCAGGCTTCTCTCTAACCCTTCCGCTCCTCACAACCCTCAGAAATGAAATGGTTTTAAGATAATGTTGGCAGAACAGCGGCCTTCATAGTTCAAGGGCATCCATCAGAATGGCCCAGTAGGCGCTGAAGAGTTAAACCCATGGACTTCCACATCCAGTTACAGGAAAGCGCACATCCTCTCCTGAACAATGCTAGCGATTTGAGTTCTCAAGTAATTTAAAAGGCTATAGCATGCCTATTTTGGGGATTTTATATTCATGGAAATGGGGACTGTGGGCTGTAGCCTGCTGTTTGGCAAGCCCTCAGCCCAGATGGGGTTGCACAAGGTGTTTAATCAGTTCCTAGAGCAGCACACGGCTGCCATGTTTAATTACTCCAATTTAATGGAGCATTCAACAAGATCCGCTTGGTTTGCCATGGATTATTATGGTCATAGGAAAGAGGGCTGAGGACCCAGACACCCAGGCCCAGCTTATTTTACGCACAGTGATGAAGGAGACTCTGCCAGGCCCTGAAACCTCCATCTGCAGATGTGTATTTACAGCCAGCACTGATTCAGTTGAGGGAATTGACTGAAATGCTGTAACTTCGAGCCCCTCTCTTGTCCAAGACCCTCCTCGTGGCTTCCACTGATCACAGGAAGGCTGGAGGAGCAGCTGATACGACAAGACTGACAATGCCGGGGCCCAGCAGTCTGATTGATGGGTGCTGATGTCCAGGATACTGGAAGTCTTACCCTTCATTTTGCTTTTACTAACTCAGCTGCAGTTTATCAGTCAAAGGGCATTTGCATGTCAAAGGGGCTCATTATTTTTCATTTGTCCTTCCGAAAAACCCGGCTGCTCTGCAAATTTCCAGTAGGTCTTGATATCAAAAGATGAAAAACAGAGATCAGTGTTTTTAGAGTCTGCAGATGCTAACAGCTGAATCAAAACTTTGACTGTAAGGATTTAAGAGAGCAGTACATTCTCTCATATTAAGATGAACTAAAGAGGGCTTGCAGGACTCATTAGTTCTTGTGTGATTTTTTTAAAAGCAACTTAAAAGTCCCCAGATCATGTGTGTCAAAATGTAGGAATGTGACATTTGGGAGTGATGCCCATTTAAACCTGTTACGAAATACACGAGGAGACAACTTTCTTTCTGCTTAATTCCTATAGCTGAAAGTCAGAAAGCTTAGCCTTTGGTGTAATTTGAAGGCCACAGGTCAGAAATCAAATGCATTCCTTGGATTTTGGCAGATCTCTTACCATTTTCCTGCCTGTGGATCATAAACGAACACATTTCCTGCCTATCTGCCTCTAACCAGGTGTTGAGTCAAACCCATTCAGCTTATCTACTTTCTTTTTTGGGAGTGAGTGGCCTGCCTGAACCGCTTACACCAGAATTAGGAAAGCAGTTTTAAATTTGTAAGCACAAAATCCAGATACTCAAATGAACTAACCTGTTTCTTGCAAACCAGTAATTCAAAGACGCAAAGTGTTTGCAAAAATATAATTTTTCCCCCATACCCAGCCTCTGACTTGAAAATTCTAAAGAATAAATGTTGTCTTATTTCAGAGGATCCGAGACCATTCAATGACCACCTGAGGTTGGTCTAAAAGTGGTGGGACTTTGTGTCTTAGGAAGATTCACACAAATGTATTTCAGGGTGAGCAGTGGCTGTCGTCAAGAAGGTGGCTCTGTTGCAGATGGTGGTTTGTTTCTCGTGACAGGTACCTTCCCCTGGTTGGAAGCAAGACTTAACCCTTCAAGAGGTTATAGTCACAGCTTCTCCAAAAGTAGAGGTTTCACTTGCTGATCATTCTAAATGTTATGCCAGTTCTTTCCGTAAACTACAGTTCCAGGTTTCCCAGGCCAATATTTCACACCAGGAGTAAGTGATTCTCCTACTTAAGGACTCCACTATTGATCACTGGTATAGGTCTTTATTCTTGCTGTTTTTATAGCTATTCCTTTGATCTTTGGCTGTGCAGACAAGAAGCTATGGTCTATGGCTTCATGACTTTGAGGACTCCTGGTTAATGATATGTGATCAAATTCTGCATTTTAGTGTGCTGGCAGGACCACAGACTCCTGGCATTTCAAAAGAGAATTGTGAGCAGTTAAAGGCAAGATTGTACTATTAATCCCTCAACTGTAACATATTTTTAACGACAAGCCTTCTCTTTGCTATGAAGAATAGCAAGATAAAAGCCTCTATTATGTTAATTAACTTTAATTTTCACATACGAAAATGCCCTTAATACATAATAGTTCACAGGGTTAGAAAAACAAACCTGCTTAATTATTCTAAAGCAAAAATCATTTTTAGCGGACACATTCCAACATTTAATTTGCATCCAGTTAAGTCCTTAAACCAAGTAAATATGGTTAGCTGTTGATGCACACATTTTGTAACAGCCTTCACTAGGAAGCCAAGTTGCTCAATACTATGCATACTACAGAAGTGTTAAGGGGAATTTTCGATGGCTTGATTGTGGACTGGAAACATCTGTCTGAAAAGTTTAACAGACCCAAATCATTTTGGCCGTGTTTTTTAGCATGGCCCTTCAGAGACACACTTAAGAGATGATTCATTCTTTTGCTAGTATAGACTGAGAACTGTATTTTGAAGAAACATCTTCTGGTCTTGTCCGCAGGTAGGTCTTAGGAAGATGGGATGGCTTTCCATTCAGCTAGGTTCTGGTTAGACTCCTTTATGCTATCTAAATGACGCCAGTCTTTCCATCTGGTCAGCTGCTCTCTCAAGCATGCAGAGGCACTATACTCCAGACCCCTACCAGAAACGTGACTGTCTACTCTTAAGCTGTCACTGAAGGCAAGAAATATTTATGAAAAATCATCTGAAGAACACGCAGTTCATTGATTACTTTGAAGGTGAGGGCTTGTCCCTGGATCCAGCATTTTCCTCATCTCCAACTAGCAATTCTGTGGGCTTCGCCTCCAAGAAATCCTCATGCCTGGCCTGCCGCAGGCCATGTCGGTACCTCCTCCCACCTAGACAGTCTTCTTCAGTCTACTTTTCGCCTTGCACCAGGCTTGGTAAACTGTGCCAGCAGGTGGCCTGTTCTCGTATGGCCTTGTGAGCTACAAATGGCTGTTACCATCTTTAAAGGGCAATGAACAGAAATTTTAAAATATGCAGAGATGGTGTGCGACTCCCAAAGCCTAAAATATTTACTATGTACCCCACATGGAAAATGTTTGAAGACTTGTATGATTCTCCTTTAGAAGGTCACCTCAAGGGCTGCTAAGTGGGTAATAAAAAGCAAGGGAACTATTCAAATGACAACAGAGCAGCTTATGATTATTTAAGGGAGTCCATCCCAGGCACTCTTTTTATTGCTGCCTTTCATGTTTGAAATAATCTCACATCTGTATCCCCATCCTAGACTGCAGGTCTGTGAAGACAGGAACCTTGATTCCTACTGATCATTCCTGGATTTTCTGCTCCTAGCACAGTGCCTGACACAGTGATAAGAAAGAAAAGGCGGTAGGACAGTATCCACTTGGTGCACAACATCCTAATTCTCTGGAAAACTTCACCCTGGAGGCATTTTGGAGGTGCGCCTATTCGTTTCAGGGAGGTGGCTACAAGAAATAGCTTCATGAAGGAAGCCTACTGCTATCTGCTTCAGGAACGCAAATTGGTCAATGTATCTCACATGTGAAGTCCACGTGGGAAATCCCTTCTAGGGCCAATTCTAAGATCTCGTGCTTTCTCCAAATTCTTAACAGTCTTTCTGTTCTCAGGAGGTGAAGTGCAACAACCTGAAAGGGTTCCCTTCCCCATGGGAAGGAAATTTGATACAAATTTACAGTTTACCTCAATCTGATTATTTTTCAATTTTGTACTGTTTTATTGCATGTATTTTCTTGTAAGCAATAACAAATTCTTTGTTGAATAAAATGCCAATTTAAAAAAAAAGGCCACCCTGGGGAAATTACTTCACTTGAGCCACAGTTTACTTGGTTGCCTATGGGGTCCCAGTCCCTTCTTACTAGGGATACCATTTAGGATTCAAAGACACGGGAAACTCAGAGAATACTGTCTGGCAAGAGTCGCTACGAATAAACACTAGTTTCTCTTTACTGCAAATCAGTCTGGGATTCTACAAAAAGGCGGCTAGACAGTAGTTAATACAGACCAAGATCCTAAATGACCTGAAATGAATCACACCGACTGCTGACATGTCAGATCGTAAACAAATCTACATTCACCTGACAACACCATTTCTTATATGGACTTCTTTTAAACATTTATTAAAAAAGCAAGATGTATGTTCCTCTCAAATATAACAGTTAAAAATGGTAAAGCAATACAAACAACTTGTTCCTAGCAGCATCCAGTTGTTAGCGTCTCCCACCTGCTTCTCGGCGTGTTCCAGGCAAGCTCAGCCTCTTCCGAGCTTGCTGCCACTTCCCTCATCATAGTGCAGGTCAAACCGAATTTTTATAAAATTAACACTTTAAGGTTAAATAAGCTTAAATAAGGGTGTTAAATACAAGACACTTCATCCGAGCTTCTGTACAAAGATAAACAAATCTGGCATTGTACAAGTGATTCTGCTGGCTCACAGCACGCAGGGGAGTTCTAGTGAGTAAGCAGATTTACTCTGTTTTGTTTTTCAGCAGAGCAACTATACAAAAGTGAACTAAGAGTTGACGTGACTACTGACAACCTGGTGAGCCATTTACAAGGCATATGTATCTGTTTTTTTTAAAAATCAGAACACTGTTAATATTCAGGCACCATTTTTTCCTGCAAATAAATAAGTCTCTAAGGTAACTGCATTCGAACTAGTGTTAAACACATCAGTGCTTCCTCTGAACACCAAAGCTTTCCCAACTATTTACCATGCCTCCTTTCTTATTGCTATGATAATGTGGCTGTGGAAATAAAACTACTGTACATCCAAAAAAATAGAGCACCTTTAACATTAAAGTATATGTCTGATTATTTGTTTTCATGTTTATTTTACAAGACTAAAGCCCAAACTACGGTGAATTGCTTTAACGTCTCTACCAGGTCTCCTGATACATAGGAAATAAAACTCGACTGTTTTCCCTCTTGAGGTAAGCCTGAGCCAGAGCGCCATTTGAGCAGAGTCTAAGAGAAAAAGGTCTCAGCTGACACCAGGGTTTACATTCATCCTCACTCTGGGAGTTACATTCATCTTCACACTGGCACTGCTCTCGCTGCGGCTACCAAGAAAGGGTCACGGGTCCCTACCCTGCTGGGGCGAATGGTGCTACACAGAATGGAACAGCAAGAACATCTACGACTGCTTGAAAGCACACTGAAAAACCACGTTGGCGACGTCGAAGGGACAACAGGCATTTCCCGATGGTCCCCTGATGAGGTGCGGACTGGCTAAGGTTTTTTGTCGATGGTGTTGAAAAACCACTCTGTGAATTTGCGCAGCTGGGCCGTGGCGGTCTGGGACTCCTCCTGCAGCCTCATGTTGTCCTGTCTCAGGTGCTGCACTTCCGCCTGGAGGACCGCCTTGTCCTGCTTCTCCTGGTGTGAGCAGAAACACACTGAGTCTCAGATATCGGCTGATACATTCAATCCTCCTAAGCTTGGGTGCAAGAATCCCTTGTTCTTACTTTTATGGATCTCCTTTTTGAGAAAAGGGGACTTGCCTGACCCTGCTTCCTGCCGGTGGCAAAGGGGTGGGGGTGGGCGGCTCAACACAGCCTCTTCTTTCCTCTTACTTTGCTCCCAAGAGGCGTCAAGATGGCCTTCACGGGAAGGGGACTAAGCACAGTTTATGCTACCCGCTATCAAAAAACAGGAGACTACATGAGGCTAAAAGTAGTACCTCTGACCAATGCGCAGAGCCTTTTAAGTGAACTTACTGTACAAAACTGGTATCAATGTAGCTGTTGCATACTTTATTTTATTTTGTGTATGTTTACAACACAGCAAGAACTTAGGCCGCCTTAAGCTCTCCTGTTATGTTATAGTTCCATCTTGACCCTTAACGTGTGCCGTTACAGACTGCATAAAAATAATCGAGATGGGTCTGAAGAATCCCATCTGGAGCTTCCAACATACAGTAACGAAAAAATGTACAACACAAGTCTCAGTTCCCAACACAAAAGGGATGCCTTCCTCCAAATAGCGAGAGGGTCATTGTCAGATGGTCAGAATCGGTGTTTTTTTTTTTTTTTAACAGGCTCTGACTTGACTGCAGACTCCACCGGGCGCCACCCACAGCTCTGGGCTGGAGCATGGAGCATGGTGAGTGGGATGAAGCCTTTTCAGGAGACATTCCCACCCTTGGTGTGTCTGGCCCACCCTTGAGGTTTCCTCCTGTTTCCTGATCCCTTCCCAGACCCTCCTCAATACCACCTCCTCACCACTGGCCTGTAAGACCCCGGTCCCAAGAGGAGGCCTGAATTGGAGCTGGTGATGACCTCTCTGTGAGGATCAACGGCAGTCCACCCTGGACCCAACCCTCTTGACACTGCCCACGACCACGACTTCCACTCCCCACATAGCTCACAACATCCTTGTGGGGACTGGCCTGCCCACCTCTCCCCGGTCCTGCAGACCTCTGCCTGACCCAGCGAGCTTGGATTCTATCATGAAGCCCTTCTGCACTCAGTCTGTCCTCTGAGGCTCCCTTCATCTTTGTGCTCTGAGCCCTGGCTCTCTCCTGAGGATATCGTCCAGCAGTCGGTTGGGCAAACACTCCTCCTCTTGCTCGGCCCCCACCACCACTCCCTCCTATCATTCTAGCTTTGAAAAACATGCCATTAGGTTATGAGACCTGCCACCTCTCCCACTGCAGTTTTCTATTGATTCACCCCAAGTCCTGTCCATCATGAATGAAATATTCTAGAACCGAGTTCATGCCTCTTCTTTCCCCACCCTACTTCCTGTCATCTTTGTTGACGATTCCAAATCCACTTAGAGGTTCCATCCGACACTGGCCATTCAGCCTCTCCATCACTTCCTCTCAACGTTCTTCAACTCCAGCCCTCTATAGTCCATACTCCCAGGGCTACCACCCAAGCCTGTTAGTGCTGATAACTGTACGCCTTCCTGAAATAACGTCGAGTTCCCACATCCTGATCACCACCCCTTGTCTTTACAAAATCACATCTCCAGTGTCTACCTCGCCTATAACTCTCTAACTCACCAATCTTACTCTTATTTTCACCATCCCTCAATGGCTTCCCCCAGACCCCCCCCAACATGCAGTGACATTATTTCTCTTCACCCAACTTAGACTCTTGGTCCCCTGGTTTAATCACGGATATCAATCCTGTACAGACTCCAGGGTTCTAGTCTTTCTCTCTCTCACCTTGACTTCTTGCCTAACAGTGATTAAGTCCAACTTTCCAACGACTCCATACTTATGGCTAGAGACAAGTGACATAGTCATCCCAGCCTGCCTGGGACTTTGCTGGTTCTAGTCCATGTCCTGGAAAACTTCTCTATCTGGGCAAACAGGCCAGTGGGTCAACCAAGCTGGAGAAAAATGCACAACTCGGCCAGCATGCATCACTTTTATGTTGCAAATTCCAATGTGCCTTTAGACTTGTTTGGCAATTTTACCAAATACACCTGGTCAATTTACTTCTGCTCTACACCTTATTCGCTATCCTCAAACTCTTACACTCCTTCCCGTCACCCACTCTCAGCTTGCGACTGGAAAGGGAAACAATCAGAGGAGAACTCTGCCAACCTGCCTCGGTCTAGACTGTGTGAGAACGCATGTGTGCACATCCTGGACTCTGGCGGTGAGCTGTTCCTCCTCCGGTCCAAGGCCTGCTCTGTCCCTGTGACTGGGCCAGCCCTTCACCCTCATCATCTCCTTCCTATTTCCATCAGCATTCACACCAGCTGTAGTTTCTCCCTTCTTCAAAAACCAAACCAAACCACAACAAAAGCCTTCCTGTGACACCCTTGCGCCCCTCCCCCTCCCACGACCGTGCTCTGCTCCCCCTCCCTGGACAGGTAATGGCCCGGGGCTGATGGTACACTCAGGGGGCTCTGCAAGCATTTGAGGGATGCAGGATGCAACCCCTCTGAGGTCCAACCACACTCAGGTTGACGCGTAGAACGGTTCTGAGGGCTGTAAACCTGATCCTGCAAGGGCAGAGCTCATGGAGACCAGGTGCAAATGAAAACTCACGGAGGCGAAGCAAGCTGGTCGCCGTGCCTCTCCCTCACACCGAGACCGGCCATGCAGAGCCACGCTCGACCTCAGCTAGTCATCCACTGGGATCCCTGTGTCCCTCAAAAGAAACTCTATCAGTCACAGGTCAGAAAACAGAATGCGACCTCAGGAATCTCTATTTCTGTCTACTGTTGGGTTTTACTTCGGGCAGTTTTCTTTCCTGAGTCCCTTCCATTTATCTGAAACAATGAAAGGGGCTTGATCGCGTGAGAGACAGAGCTCTGATTCTGCTCTCCCAAGGGAGTCTTTTACCTTGTGCAGGTCAGTCTGGAGCTGGCGAAGAATCAGTTCCAGTTGGTTGACTTTCCCAGTCAGTGTTGATGGTGAGCGCTCCCTGGAGAGTTAAGGACAGAGTTAGGCCACAGAGAGGAAGTCCTGGCATCTCATTCAGCATTGCTGTTGGTGAAGATTTTACCCATGAATTCTTTCATGTGCTTAGAGCCCTGCAAGGAGATCAATTATATTACGCCATACCAGGAGAGTGTCTATATTGCTGCTTTGGGAGAAAACCCTTCTTGGGACTCTACCAATTTAAAAAGGAATTCCGAATCTCTACAGACATCTAGGTTGGTAAGAAGACAAAGCAGCTTACTTATATTAGTTTGGCCAACCAATACCAAGTAGACTCAAATGAAGTCCTGGGAGCCCAAAACAGGCTCAGTTCCCTCGATTTGCCTCTTTCTGAATTATGAAAATATTATGAAGTTCATTACCAAGGTGAACGTGCACATTCGCAAAGAAGTTGGAACTAGGAACGGATGACACGAGTAAAGAATACACAGTTTGGGTGATGAACACATGACAAATACAGGGAAGGAGATGGTGTATTCCTGATGCCCTTCAATGGAGAGTGTGAGGCTGGATCAAGAACCAGGTTCTGCGAGGAATGGTGTCCTTGGCAGGCCGGCACGTGTGGCCTGGCGGGTGGAAGGTCTTGCCTGGTGCTATCATGGAACGAGGCAGCAGGTGCTGACCCTGCGCCCCCATGCATTCTCTGTGCCAGTGAGGCTGGCCGCCATGGGTGCCAGGCCACTAGTCTGGGCAGGCAGGACCCCCTCACGCAGCTGAACAGTCACGTAGACAAGCACCATCTCCCCCAGCAGGGCAGGGAGCCAAGTCAGTCCCATTCAGTCCCGCCTCGTGTTCTTCAGGAACACGGTCTCCTGTCTGGACTGGGATTAGCCCAATTCCTGCTCATCACTGGTCCGGGACAGTAGGGGATAGCGGTCCTCAGGGGCTCACATACCCAGTTGTGTCCATGAACTCCTTGCTGCTCCCGGGATCTACACACAAGGGCAGCTCCTGGGCCCCTTCCAAGTCCTGCCCGTGCTGCATATCTGTCAGGGTGCAGAAGGATGCCACCCTCTGGTCTGAGGAGGGGAGAAATACACACAGAAGGTGGGGTTAGTAGTAGTTGTAAGGCAACGTTTCTTTGTGGAAATGAGCGTAGTAGCTAATACTACCTCTTCCCCACTCCAAATCAGTTACTGCCCTGCTTTGAAACAAAACAAAGAAAAACAAACTCAGGCAAGCAGCTGACAAGGAGAAAGCATGGAAATTGGCCACCCTACCGGGTGGGCTGTATAGCATATGCACCTCACAGCCACGGGGACAACTAGCAGATCCTCGATTTGCTAGAGCCAATTTGCTTTCTTCTTTCCACATCCCAAGAAACGCCAAAGCTGCTGGCAGCACACGAAATAATAGCTGGATGATGACTTGGCTGGCTGGCTGGCAGAGCCCGGAAGAGGGACTTCTCCTCCAGCTCTCCCCAAACCCAGGGAACAGTCTTGGGACAGAACAGCCAAGGGCACACGTCCCCCTGTACACCCCAAAACCTCAGAGCATACATGACCATGCAGACGTGCAGACACACGCGATATACAGAAAAGGTTACAGGATTGGGAGCCAACGAGCAGCCCCAGACAATCACCTAGATAGGATGTGTGGTGACAGAGCAGCCCAAGTTCTTCATCTGAGTCAAGACCTGAAATAAGATTTAGAATTTTCCCGTGAACAGGAACATTTCTCTGTGCTTGAGAACTTCTGGGGCCCACATATGGCTCACATAATGGGGTCACATGAAGTATAACTCTGTGTGTGTGTGGGGGGGGGAGACGTTTTCACTATCCTGGCTGGAAGCAGGGCTGTCATGTACAACACAGACATGTGGCATGCAGTGGATCCCACCCTGAGCACACACCGCAATCTTGGGCTTACTTAAATAACTTACTCCGTGAGTGTAAGGAGCAGGTTGGCGAGGGAAACGAGCTGAGTGATCTCACTAGACACCGTTTACTGAAGGTCTGAGGGGCCCAGCATTCCCAGCACTAGCACCAATGATCAGTATGACTGCAATGCCTTATCTCAGCACAAGGATATTTCTGTTCTTGGCACTAGGAACTTCACATCCAACATTTCAAGAGACAGGTAGGAAAGGGACTGTCTTCAGAATGGGCACCGGATTGGCTTAGCTCCGGGGACTGAATCTTGATGGTCAGTGGTCGAGAATGCCAAATGGCATGCAGGAAAAAGTCCTGCTTTTGAACCCAGTGGAAATGAGAACCAAGCAGTCTTCCCAATGATCCGTTCGCCCGGTCCCCGGTGTCTCTCTCCTTGTTTTCTGAGCACACAGTGCATCTACAATGGGAATCTAAGGGGTATGGGTATGGCCAGCGCATTAGTGCTGTGGCAGTCCTTTCACAGAACTGATTAATGGGGGAGAGGCCGCACTTGGGTCTGTGTCAGGAGTTCTCTGTTCTTAATTTATCCCACTCCTTCTCCTTCTGGCTGCTGGATGAGCCTTCTAATGAGGCTACCTGCTTGTGTGGTTTATGGAGGGTCACACATTTCCAGTTAATTAAAAAGGATGGCAGTGTCGAAGCTGCCAGAAGCACACAAGGAAGGCTGGGACCGAGGACTTGGGCATGGCACTGAAGGCGCATTCAGCCACCCCCCACGGGTCTCGCCCTCCTGGAGGTCACGCCACATCTGCCTGGCAATCCATCACATGAGGAGTGCTCCGGCCACGTGGTCCCTTTCCTGACACCTGCCCTAGGCACACGGATGTCCTTCAACTAACCTTTCTGTAAAGCTCCACATGTCAAATCTTCTACAAGATGACAACCATTCTGTAACTATACGTTCCTGAGAGACAGTCATGTTAGCAATTTAGCGGCTGAATAATAGGCTTTTTGTACATGATGACATCATTTGCAATTTAATTAAGAGTAACAGGATAAGCTGGGCGCTTTCCACCTCTCCGCATGAGGCGATGTACACAGCAGGGGTGGGGCAGAAATGAGGGAATCCTGGCTGAGGCCAAGCAGCTCTAGGGAACGGGTGGGGTGGCTGGGCCCGGTAGCATCCAACAAAATCCTCGACTCTGTGAGTGCCCCTAGTAAGGGAACAGTCCCTTTAAAAAATCACAGGAGATAAGCTACAGTAAATTTAACTACTAACAAACAGCAAAAAGTCAAAAGAAAATAGATCGTTTATTTTTCTCACTTTTAAAGAGTTTTACTGACTCGTCCTCATTTTATACAACCTAGTTATGTCTCTGTCTTTCTTACTATATTTGAGTCTGATGAGTGTAAATACCTGGATGAAAATGTCTTAACTGGCTTCATCTATTTGTGCCTTAGTTGATAAACTATCCACCTATCTGACAGAAACAGACTTTGCTCCTGGCAGTCATTCAGACATTCCTTGAGGAGAAACAAGGTCCTACCGGTCAGGAGGCAAGATGCCAAAAACAGAATTTTGCCAGCAATGTAATTTCACAAAGAGGATTTCACTTTGGATCTGAAATGCAAACAGAATGCTATTTGATTAAGTACAGACACCAAACTACTTTATAAAAGAGCTAATCTTAGTGACAGTTTCCAGTGGAAGTCATATGCCCCCACAGCTTATTTCTGTGATGATAAATATTCAGTAATCAAGTGATTACTGACATGAAACCAAATGGCACAAACAAAAGCATCAGAAAAGACATGCACAGGAGTATGAACTTCATGTCCACCGTCAGTGCAGATCTGATCACTTGCACGCCCCATGTTTTTTCTCCTGTTCCTTCCTGTGCAAGCAAATCCGGTCAAGGTGGGACACTGGGCATGGCTGACATGCAAAACAACTCATCCCTTTATATAATCATTTAAAAAATCGTATTTCAGTGTCAGTTTCTTATTTTAGAGCATGTAGCACTAAAGAAGATGATAGTCAATCAGCTATTTTGTATCAATCTAGAGCTGAGACAGTAAAACATCTGACTACAAATTAGTCCATGACTCCATCTAGAATGCCTGCTGTACTGAGAACATCAGAGCAAGTCTGCATTGGTGGGGGTGAGTGGTCTCATCAGCCAGACATGTCCTAGGGTAAGGACATACAAGTCTGAAGCTAGATTAAACCAAACCTATTTCCACAACTAAAGCTGTTCTAAGATTTCTTTGTTAGAACTACAAACTAAAGACAAGCTGGGGCTCTGTAGCTACATACAGAAAACTAGAGATTTTGATTCTGACACCTGTGTTTATTGGATTGTAGAAAAATGACTTAACTGACCACCAGAAAACTTTTTAAAAAGGCTACACTGTACTTTCAAATAAAATAGTTTGGTTCATGCCCATAGCAGCTCACTGGTGAATGTGGAAAGGTAAAGGTCTAGAATCTGTCTTAAAGTAATTAACAAGAAAAAATCCTGAAATTACTCTTTCCTTAAGACATGACTACTGTGTTGGCCTGAAAATAATGTTAATTTACTTTTGAGATAACTTAAGTTGATTTACTATATTAAATTTGACTTTGCAGTTTTCATTTATGTAGTAGTCATTTTTCTTTTCAACTTTTTTCACTAACATGTTACCATTAGGAGTTACCCAGTATGTCACATTTTATTTATGCTTGTGTAACACACACAAACACACACACACACATGCAATAACTTTAACAACTTGATCAGCTTTAAGCTGGAGTTTCAGAAATGAAAGAGTCCTCATCATATAAATTGATGTTTATTAAGCTCTAAGAATCCGAGGGCATTTGGAACATAGTACATTAAAAATACAGACTTCTATTTTTTGGGAAAATACGCATAGGTGATGCTTGGTAGACGAGTTGTTAACTCTTTGCGTCTTATACAGATATTCTCACAGGAGCATACACACATCCGTGTGCCCAGGCAGCTATGGAAAATGATGATCTCACCACCAACAGGAAAAGTCTGAAACCCAGAGAGGAGGACAGGCATTCACGAGGCAGGGACATGGAGTCCAGAGTCTTTGATCGCTCCTTGGTCATTTTACCCTTAAAGCCTGTTTTCACCTAAAACGGTACTAGCCATTCAACAAGTGTTCAAGAACACACCAATGGCCTCCTCCTGACATTGTGACAAATGACAGCTACTTTGGATATTAGAATTTCTGAAGATGCCACTTGCGTTTTCTGCTTTGCTGTGTGACCCACGGTGGTTTCGTGATTGGTTTTCTAATCGGGTTTGTTCCCATTACCATGCTTGAGGCGGATGGAAGCGATTGCATACATTACCAGGTGCCCCTAAACCTGACACACTTTACATAACAAGGAGTATGATCACTACAGGGTGGCAAGACGATGATCTTATTGTCAGAGAGAGATCATCAACTTCACTTCTGATGAGCAGTGCACTCATCACACAAAGGAATTGCATATATTAAAACAAATTCTACGACGGAGTCAGTGACTCTGCTAGCTTTTCAAACTGGACCTTCACAGCATGGGGAAGTTATAGGGCACAGCAATTACCTTTGCCTTCTTGGACCCATAAAGGACTTTGCTTTTTTCGACATTTAGTTTTAGTTTTTTGTTGGGTTAGAGATTATCCATCTAGTTATTTATTAATTTTTAATAATGCTGCATAACGTTTCTCTGTGGGAAGTTTTTAAATTCTTTTGAATAATATTCTGTCAGCAAATTCTCAGGAATTAGATTTCTGGTCAAAGGGTGGGTACAGTTTTCTGGTGCTAGCTACACATAATCATATTGCTTGAACAAAAAGATGGATCACTTTATAATCTTCATAATGATACCAGCTGTGATATTCTTCATAGCTTCCCAGAGCTGTTGCATCATTTTTCATATTCAAAACGTGTGAGCTGGTAGCTCATTATCCTTTAAATTTACAAGTGTGGTTGAACATTTTTCACCTGCTTATTTAATGTGCATTTCTCCTTTGTGGACTGTGTATCCATACGCCTTGACCATTTGTTTACTGAGGGCTTGTTTTTTTTTTTTTCTGGGTAAGTTTCTTTATGTACAATAGATATCCTGGTTTTACTTATCACATTTATCACACATCTTTTCCTATAGTCTAATATTTTCCTTTTTACCT